TTGGTTTCAGTTTCAACAGAAGGAGGGGAATTCTGTGACCAACTTAACAATTGCTACGATCCCAAACGCCAGTTCCTTCCATCAATCCGTCCGCCCCTTTCGAGTTAGCAAGGCGTGATCTATTCTTGAATTCAGTGGAATTACGAAGTTCTGTAAGTGTTGTACCTTCCGAGAGCGGAACATTCTTACTATGAACTGCGGATGCGAGTGTCTTCCAGTGCAAACTGCTGCAAGAGAAGCGTTACATTTAAATTAAGTAAATGGGTGTATCAGATTAAAACAATTTCAGCAGGAATGGTCGTTTATGAAAATTTTGTTAACATTTATTCGGAAGTGTAATACGAGTTGAAGAAAGCAATCTCCTGGGATGTGGCGCCGCGTAGAAACGTCGGTTAACACAATATCTACACGGCGCCACGTCCCAGAACACTGCTTTCTTCATAGTCACCGCCGTGAAAACCTCAAAACTTACAACATAATACGAGTTATTAACAATTGACTGATGTAATAATTTATCCCAATAATGAGTAACCATATACGAGAAGGGTAACTGACACTGAAGGTTTTTCTTTCCTTGGCACTACAGCCCCAGTGTGCCTAGGCCTATCTCCATGAACTTCTCCGTTCACTTCGGTTTTTCTAGATCTTACAAATTCGGTAGGACTCCTTGGGCGGGTGATCAGCTCGTCGCAAGACCTCTACCTGTAGGCTACACAAACACAGAAAAAGGCACACACACAAACTAAACATCCATGCCCTGAGTGGGATTCGAACCCACGATCCCGGTTTCCAAGAGAGCGAAGACGACACTGAAGATTATTATTGTAATTTAGTTATTAGAGCGAAACATTCTCTTGATTAAATAGAAACGTATGTATGTTCGCCGTTTACGTCACTGTAGCATTCATAACTGAGCAATGGAAGATGAGTTGAGCCACTTTAACCGTAAGGTAAGCCGCACACCGGCATGCGTCACGATACGTAACAGTCAAAACACGATGTCTGCGTCATGACGCAAAGAAAGGAGCACAGTTGAAACGAATTAGATTATGAAAATCGCCGCACACCGCTGACATCTTGACTCAGACCTGTGTGCGGAGGTTTTCATAATCTCATTCGTTTCAACTGTGCTTCTTTCTTTGCCTCACGACGCAGACATCGTGTCTTGACTGTTACGTGCGGCCTACCTAAAAGAACATGAATACAGACTTTACTACACATGCTTCTAAAAACGTTTTCTCTCGAAGGGCCTATGTTTCACCTATTGTCATTTCGTTTGTATATCCCGCCATTTCCTTGATCTTGTTGAGCTTGTGCTGACCTCTTTCGGAGAGACGCAATGTTGCATATGTGATAAGGATGACGTAGCCAAATCGGAATACAGGAATGTGTCATGTCTTAGTTTGTTGTTTAACAATGCTCTCAGTTCCGAAACTACATACCGCTGCAAGTGCATTCCATTCATATTTTACTTTTAAATGTACACCATATCGAGAAATATTTCAAACAACACTATCGATAATGTGTCTGTAAACTTCTGTGGCCTCAGGCGTTTTGGGCACAGCTCCATTCGAGCCTCGTGTAAAGTAGGAATTACATTTTACTGTGGAAACCAAGACCATATTTAATGGCGCATGTTTACAACACAAAATATAATTAAAGTCTACTAGTTTCATAGATGCAACGCGCGTGCTCACACACACGTCATATACCTCTTGAAAAGACTAGTAAAGATATTTGATATTTGTAGTTCTGTGTGCTTTGTGTCATATCAGAATTTATCAGTATTTACTCTTATTAGTGACGCAGGCAAACTATAAGGTTTCAAGTAATTATAGCCAGCAAATTTATGTTGTCAGTCCCATTGAACATTACTATTGCCTGCAGAGACCGTATGAAATTCCTGTCAAAGGCAGATAAATCCTCTCGGTTGCGCATGCGTCTGTGTGTGTGTGTGTGTGGGGGGGGGAGGGGTAAGCTGAAATCACGCTCCTCTTTCATCCTGTTTCTGTATGGTATGCGGAAAACATGTAATCGGCTCTAGGGGAACGGGAACCCCCGGAAGGTTTCCTGGGAAGGCGTCTGCTTTCAGAAGACCCACAGTTTCTACTGATGAAATCAGAGCAACTCACAAAGTACGGATGGATTCTTGGTCTGTTAGGCATACATTGCTTACAGTATCTCGAATCTACGTAACATATGGAACAGAAATAGCAACGTTACATCCGAAAGCGATCCATCTATAACGTCCTAAGTTCCCTGTAGATTAATTATGAATTTTATTTACTAATGATGGATTCGTGACGTCAACATTATCCCAGCGATTGTTATGAAAACTGAATAAAACAGCAAATTATCTCGGTGAACATAGCTGAGCGTACATAGTAGCGGACAAGAATCACAGAAATGTATTCTTTGCGATAAATTACAATTTAATATATGCCAAATTTTAGCCACCCTATCCCTTAACACTACGTGGATAACACACAGAAGGCTACAAGCAATTTGTACGGCGACGAATATGCTAATTCTAAGAAATGTTCTTACTGTATTCTAAATACGTATTTTCCATCATTTGTTGTTTTAATTGGGGTGTTCCTATGTTGAGTTCAAGCTAATATAGAACACAGCTATTATCAATATAATTTTTATTGTAGACCTTGTCAAAAATTCAGCATACGTAAAATGATATATATAGTCGACATTCGGTGAGAAGGAATTCAGTCACCATAACAACGCTATTCTGTGGAAACTAATCCATTATGGAAACTAAGTTAGCTGTTTTTCATACGGAGTTGCGAAGAAATCAATAGTCTGGAAAATACCTTATATGTTCAGAATTTTGAAGAGTAGCTATGATAGCAATTGCTGAACAGTAACAAACGTTTCCAGAGTATATTCTCCTTGTTCCATCAATTTAATCATGAATATACTTTGTGATTATAATGTCATTCCAGAATTAATTTTGAAACATTTTAAAATTAATATTATTACATTCATTTTCATTATAATTTAGTGCTAATCTGTTTCCAGTGAAGTATAGAACACAAAGCTAATTAGGGAGAAAAATCTATCGTAATATACCCCACCATAAAACGGTGAAAGCATAAAACGGATTAAGTTACTTGTCTTGTAGGCAGATTTGTTAGAACTGTCGACCACCTTGATGGATGAAGAGGGGTTTCATCAGAATGGGTGCTGTTAAGGGTTCGACGGCAATGCTCTTCTTGCCACACGTCTAGCACCTCTCAACACACTCCGTGATTTCCTATCTTACTTCAAATATAATCAACTGTTTAAACTATTACACTCAATTATCTTTAGCTTATTAATGTACCAGCCTGCACAACATAAGTCTGCGATTAATCAGTACTGATATATTGTAGGATTTCTAATCCACTGAAAGAGATCGATTTGAATGTCGTATTTTAGAATATAAAGTTTTTTTTTAATATATTCGTGAAAACAAAGAGGTATAAATATTTTAAATTTTTTAGAAAACAGGAACTTAATCTTCCTCAATTTTCGTTTTTTTTAAATGAATACTTCTAGAGATTAAAAAACGTAGGAAATACTGAAATATTTGGAAATTTTAGAAATTCTAAAATTATTTGAAAAGTTAAATTTTCGAAAATTTAAAACATCCTAGAAATAGTAGAAGATGGGGAAAATTTTTGAAAACTGTCAGACATTTCAAGAGTTTTACTTTTCTAAGATTGTAATTTTGCTTGTGGGTGTGATTGCATCAGTGACAGAACCTACACAAATATCTTCATCTTTCTCAGAAAATTAAGCCAGTAACTGCATATAGATGACGACAAGCCGGACAGTGTAAATCCACTTCGAAGTATTTATTTTGTTGAATTACAGGTAATGTAATAACACATGGAGGTTTTTATATTTATGTCTAAATTTTCGCCGACAGTTTCTCGCGGGTCCGTATTTCACGTAGGTGTCATACGAAAATATACCGCATTATGACGCACGATGCTGCTCACTGATTGACACTGAGAACAAATGGCTGATGGAGCTGAGAACTGCAGCCCACTTATGAACCGACTGCTCGCCGTGAAACATAATCCTGTAAAGCGGTCCGCAAAGTTAATACTCGTAACTTCCCTTTATTCCAAATATTATAGGCTATCAGGCATACTGATTCATCGACAAAATTCGTATGAATTTCGCAGTCGGCAGTGCGCCGATCTCCGTGAAGTGCAGAGCGGTGAACAAGTCAACAAATTAAGAACCCTCTTGTATAATAGAAATCCTTCGCACATTTCTAATTTCCTTTATAATCTTAATCAGATGTAAGAAAGAAAATCATGTTCTGTACATGATATTAATTTCTTAGAGCTTTAATTATGAAGAGTCCTATTTTCTCTCATAAAACGCCCTTATAATGCATTGAGAGTCATACCGCGTTTCGCAGGCACATAGTACCTCTATTTTCAGTTGGTTAAGTTGATTATTTAATGATGCTGTAAGTCAAGCAATATATCGACATAAAACATGCAGAAAAAGTACAGTGCTATGAAGATACTGGACGACAGGATTAGTTTTTTAGCGGAAGTGAGCGGAAGACCATACTAACTTGTTTATTCAGTGCACAATATAACATCTCTCATAGCACTCAACACACTTCAAGTTTGAGTGCTAACACACTGGAATTGTTAAGGCATAACAGTAGGATCAAAGTGGTCCAAGACCAGCTATTGTGTCCGTCAATTCACATCACATAAACCGAAAGGGTATGGTCAACTGGATACTAAGAACTGCTAACTAATTTTCATAACCGGAATTACGGATATTCCTAAGTTAATATATTAAGTTACCAATAAATGTAACTTTAAACTGTAAACTGCAAATGGAAGATATGTATTTATTTATTTATTCAGTTAGCAAGTCCAGCAAATATCTCTGTCATGCAGGCCGATAGCTACTTGCCTTCCCATTAGCTGCACATATGGAAATTGTTGCGAGAGGGTCAAACAGAACGCATTTGGCCGGAGAAGTGCAGTATGGAAGAAAGGTTCAAGCTGCCCCAGCGGTAAGCCAGTGAGTATTCATAGAACAACACTAATGAATTTATCGCTTTTTGCGAGAAAGTTAACAAGAACCACTGATAGGAACATTGACAAAAGTAACAAGTTATTAGCCTTATCTTATGCAGGAGCTAACTACCTTCATCCTGCAATCCATACTGTGTAAACCTGCATCTTCTGTTTGTCACGTAAGGACTGTTCTTGCACAAATTTGTTTCATATTTTTGTCCGCGTAGAATAATGTACCTATTTTAAATTTGTTTTTTAAAGTGGACAGCAAATTAGGCGATTCTCACAACAGAAATATCACTAGAATCATAGAAATCGAGGTCATATTTAACAGAGAAATTTTCAAGAAAAATATTGCATTGTCATGTGATTTCTTCTTCTGCTTCTTCTTCTTCTTCTTCTTCATCATCATCATCATCATCATCGTCATCGTCATTATCATCATTGGCAAAACAGCCCTTTTTTAATTATAGCTTTCCTTAGAATTTTCTGCCAGATTCGTCACGAACTCGACTACCCTTTTTCACTTCTTTGGCTTCTGCAGAAATTATTTCTCTTACAGAACAACCTCGTCAGCCTTGCGTCCAATTTTCAACCTGTGGCTTAAAGAATAGTGAGCATGCGTTATTTCCGCCATGTTGTACAACTCATGAGCGCTTAAATTCACCGGTAATTCATTCCAGATTAAACAAAAAAAATTAAAGCACATAATGTCACGTGTATCAATGACTAAAGACGGGGTTTGGATTGGTGAATCGATTTATTCACCACTTACAGATCGTAAATATAATTAATTATAACACTCTCAAGATTACTGTAGTTATAGAACACAAAGACTTCAAAGTCTGCTGGCACTTTACAGAGGAATCCTCACAAGTCATTCCCGTGACGGCTTCATGTTCTTGACTCGAGGTTTCTCCGCTACGACTGACTGCAAATTACCTTCCTTGTCCCCTATAAACATTTGGCACGGACCACGCAGGGAAAACAAAGCACTGTTATTTTTTGTGGCGCAGACCACATACAAAACACAACTTCCTATATATTTGTTTATTGGAACGTGTTTACAGTGCTATTACCTGGCAATTCTTTCATAAAATCTGTTGCAATAACATAAATAATTATTTTGGTAGAGATGTTTTTATTTAGAAATATTTTCGTTCCACAGGTTGGTTACAGCTACATATGGTTCCGCAATCATGAAACAGTATGTCTCTTTAGTTCTCATAATGACCTTGATTCAATTTAGTGGATGTGATTTTCATCATCTAGGATGGGAGAAGAAACTATCTAGGTGGAAGAGGTACTTGAATTTTCCGACTGGCAGTACCGCTGTGGTAAGTTTCATAACTCACCTATTCATAGTTATTTAGACGTACTTTTAGTGACAAAGATAGTTTTAAGTTATAGTTATAGTTATAGTTTTAAGAGATATATAAATTTTCACAAATTTTGCGAAATTAAATTTCAATTCAGGCACTTATGCCGACATTCAATTGAAGAGACTGAGGAAAACCTGGGAAAACAGCATTATTCTATAATTAAGTACTGCGTAGTTGACTCCATGGTACATTTTATTCCTCAGCTGGTGTACCCGGAAATTTACGGTTATATAACCTGAAAGAGTGTCCAAGGGTTCACAGAATTTCTTCATCTGACACAATCCTGAACCAACTGAAATAAACTAATAACTTAAAAACATGTCTCTGCTAGATCAGTAATATCCATTTATCATCTGTACCTAGCGTTTGAAATGGACTTTTTATGAGAGGCTTTCCAACCGCAATTTTAAGATATGTTTCTGCCTTAAGAGCAGCAGGTTCTGTAACCATTGCCGTTTCCATTTAGAAACCTTGTTAATATTAGCTGAAGTGCAAGTCATGAAGCTATTGCCACTGAAACTTTCTTAATCACTAATACACTCCGATACCTGGTCGGTTTGTTAATACAACTTATGATACATACGAACAGAGGAACATTAACACGCCTGTTATGACTTCAGTGGAATGAACTATCATCTGCGTCATGTCTCTTAACGATGGCAATGAAGACCGTTTCCGAAATGTAGAGTTTAGTCCATATTGACACGGATGATGTCCAGAAAACACTTCATTATGTTTAGTCGTCGTGTGAACTTAAGATTTTGAGTCTGCAGCTGCAAGTGGTCATGTCGACGGGGTTGATGTGGGAACTTACCAACAGTCCTCTCCCGAGGTGGAACACTGCAATGGCGTGGGACCTTGGCTTTAAGCTGCCTAATAACACCCGGATGGCCTTCGGCATGAGGAATCGCAGATATTCCGGGAGCTGTGAATTTGATTACTTTCTCCACAGAAAAGAAAGGCGTGAGGTGTATCGCAGTATTGAGGCAATACTGGACGTGTAAGTAATCATTGTATCTTGTGAGACTTTAGCCTAAATCTCCCTCAATGGCCAGATCTTCCAAAATTTGTGGTTTCCACAAGCTATACGTTGAATTACAGACGGGTAACCCAGGGATTGTGGGTTCGAATCCCACTCAGGGCATGGATGTTCAGTGTTTGTGTCTGTGTGTTCTTCTGTGTTTGTGTTTGCGACGAGCTGATCACCCGCCCAAGGAGTCCTACCTAATGTCTAAGATCTAGTAGACAGAAGTTGGACGGAGAGTTTCATGGAGGTAAACCAAAGCCCAAATTCAGGCTGTAGCGACAAAATAAAGAAAATGAACAAAATTATAGTAACATAAAACGTAACGTAATATTTTAATTAATTCTGATGCGCTAATTCCAAATACTTAGCCCAAAACTTGGTATTGCGTCAAAATGTTGTAATGGGATATTGAGAAGGAACAGTTGTTTTTTTTTTTCGCTTTCTTATTGTTCCGTGTTCTTACAGTTTGCAGCGGTCTTAATGTGAGAATAAGACGTGATCTTCAGTAGTGAATAAAAGTTATTTCTCACTTTACCAGTAGCTGATGCTACTAAAATGGTCACGTACGATAGCCCTGGGTTCTTAGAACTGATATCACGTTGTACTTTTATACGAGGTAAAACCATAGAATAGAAATTACGAGAAGGGATATATGCATTGTCTTCCTTTCGTAATGTACAACTCAGATAATTTTCAACAACACTAATCTATTTCAGTATGTATAACTGAATACAAAAAAAAAAGTAAATGATATTGCAAATTTGTGCAAGAATTAATTATTCTTTCAAAAAGAAATTCTTTTCAAATTATTGCTTGTATTAAATGTAAATAGTATTTAAACAATTATATAAAATAACCAGCGCGACATTTAAGATAGAATCTCTAATATTGCAATATACTGCTGTTGTAAGGAGCAAATTAGCAAGTGTTCAATTTGGGTTACGTAAAGCTGACTGGCATTACCAGGTAATTCAAGGAAATATGTACATGGTCTCAAACCTGAGCTGTAAAGTATATATTAACTTTAAAGTTTATCTTAACATGTTTTAAACCTGCGATTTTATTACACTTGAGCACTCAGGACACATGACGTCACAAAGCTGGGACAGTATTTCGTAGAACATTAGAACTGCTGATGGAGATGCACTTCCTGCTCGCTTAGAAGGAAATACAGACTGTTTCTTCATATTTAACGTAAGAATTTGGCAAGGTTGTGACGGTACTGCAGTTTCCAGATGTTTGTGCACGGGAGCAAGAAAGCCTCTGGAAAAAAAAAATCGATTTCTTCAATCTGAATTCATTGGCTTCCAAAATGTGATAATTACATCCCGTAACACTAATGTCTTCAGAGTAACTCGGTGGTTTCTATTCTTCAAGATTTTTAGGCTGGATTTTTTCGTCTTCCCCGGGTTGGCCAAAACCACACACTGAAGATGGACATACACTGCACAACAGTTACACTTAAGACAGAGCTGGGCCCCTGTGACATAAGTAAGTGACATTATAGATCCCTATCGGAGCTGCTTACCGCCTCTGTGGTCTAGTGGTCAGAGTTCCTGCCTACAGATCCAGAGGTCCCGGCTTAGATTCCTCGCGCTACCAGATTTTTTCTGAGAAGTAGTGGGTCTGGAAGGGGTCCACTCAGCCTCGTGAGGGCAACTGAGGAGCTATATCAAGGAAATAGAGGCTCCGGTTTAGAAAATCGAGATTACAGGCCGTGGGGATTCGTTGCGCTGACCACGTGACCTCCTCTATCCGCTAAATTTGGCATTAACTTCTCCGACTAGCTGCAGTCGCTCGGTCGGTATAGTTCACTTGCGGACTGCAGGCCACGGATTTCTTTTTTTTTTTTTGTTTTGTATCGGAACTGCTTAGCCGCTCATGTCACAGACACATGACTGAGGAGAGTACAGGGTACTGAGAATTCCTACACTGTGAGGAGAAATTACCGCAAGCATCAAAGAAAATAATAACCGTTCAGTTCCACAGAACCCAGGAGCGTCAGTTACGGAAAAACTACATTGTTTATAACAACATTATAAGTGTTGTGTACATTAACCAATAGCATAAGAAAGAAGGAAAATGATAAGGTTCATTTTACAACTTCTAAACTGTTACTTCTGAGAGCAGCACACACGCTTCAGCGTGTTATCCAAGAAACAGACTTAGTTCGTGCCGTAAAATTGTTGTGCTTTGTTTCTAGGTACGGTATCGACGGTCATATCTGCATGCTCAGAATTCTTTGCGAGGCTAAGCACCATCTGAGACCAGGAAGGTCGCTACTGGAAGATATCTTGCATGTTATGTTCACGTATGTTCATTTATCATCAGAGCTTTTCAGTGGAAAGCTATTCAATAAATAACCAGAAATACGAATGTTTAACTATGTTACTGTGGTTACTTGCTATGAAATTAGGCTAATTTGTTTCTATATTATATTTAAGCATCCTGTTGCACTATACGCTTCTATATGTAACAATACAAATGCCGCCGTGAATGCAACAATTTATTTGGTTGTAGATCTTTGTTTTTTCTTCCTCTACACTAAATGTTTCGGCCGTAATTGGCCATCATCGGGTGTATTTTTCACTAGGTAGCTTTTAAAAGGAGTTCCTCGTACAGAAAATACGAGTATAACCCAATAAAAATATTTTGANTGAGCAAATCAACGAGTCTGAAGAGGGTGCTGCATGTAGTATACATGGAACAAATAAGAACCCTGCCGATAAGTAATTCGGAAACCCCTATGAGCATAGACTAATTTGGAACACACAATCATTGATGGGTGGACGATATTATAATTGAAGAATGTCGTCTTCTGGGATGTGGCGCGTATAGATCTGCTCATCCTGGTTCCTCGCTTACGGATTTCTCCAATTTTTATTCTACCCTGAAGATGGAGGCAATGCTTTCCTCCGAAACATCGGTTTATATAATATCAACACGGCGCCACATCCCAGAAGACTACAACCTCATAGTTACCGCCGTGAAAACCTTAAGTTTTATAATATTAATATTTTCTGAGATAAGCGCGGCGTGAATCTGTGTTGGTTTCATCTTGGTTGGCGCATTAGTGGTGGGCTCAACAAGAAGCAGGAAATTCCCCTGTTAATTAGACAAATGTTTACATCTCGAGAAAGATACTGCTCTTTGAAGTTACGTACTTCAAATTCCTCCTTTTCGTAAGTATTATGAAAGAGTATATCCATAAACAATGTTATCTTCTGAGATGGATGGGGGCACGTGCTATCGTAGTTGGTTGAGGCACTAAGCTACAAGCGGGTTCAAGTCCCGATTAGGTCACTGGATTTTTTCAATTTATCTAATCCTTCCACACTATGGCTCTGGGGTCGACTCAGTCTCTAACAGAAATGAGTACCAGGCATATTCTTGGGGGTAAAGGGCTACCGGCGCGTAAGGCTTACTACCTTGTCGCCATCTATGAGCCGATTGTCTAGAAAATGTAGGAACCTTAATATCTCACAAGCCTATGGGCCTCCAAAGCCTGTTACAGGGATACCTTTACTTACTTAATTTTACTTATCTTCTGGGATGGAAAGTCGTGTAGTACCACAAGTTTCACCGACGTTTCGGGAACCTATAGCCTTTACCTTCAGGGTCAGAAAATAATCTAAGTTAAAACCAGCAAGAAGAAGGTGACATTGAAGGAAGGAATTAGGGTCCTGTTAAATACCGATACAAGACATTACAAGATTACAAGATTACAAGATATTGTACTCCACAAGAGTACACGCTTCATAACTGTGGTGTGAGAACCTCATATCCTGTGAATATATTCATGTTTCTCTTTTAATAGAAGGTTTCCAAAACTTTGTCCAAATTAGGGGCCAGCAGCGCAATCTGTTTATGGCCTCTACATCTGGAGCTCCAGACCCGGGTTAGAGTTCAACTCCAGTGGAAGGGAAATAAAGCGAAGCAGATATATATACACGTAGGAGTCACTGACTTCATGCTCACTTGTTTCTGGTTTCAGAATCCCACACGGAGAGAGAGATGAATTTGAGGCAGATGGCTATGACAGACCTGCAAAAGAGAGCTTCTGTCAGACTCACGGAACAAGATGTCCTTTATCCTTACTCCAGTATTTACTTTTGTAATTCAACTTCTTACGAATTTCAGTCTCTTCGGAATAAAATACTATATAATTTTAAGCCATTACTTTAAATATGTAATGTCCAGATTAAAGTTATCGAAAACAAAAAAAAATGTATATCTCGGAAATTGTCATACACGTATCCGGTTTATGTCATCGGTCGGAAAACTCTTGAAAGTTTTTTCTTCATACCAGGCTTACGCGCATGCGCCTCCACATTTCTGCCACCATGTTAGGAATCACCTGGACAGAGAGATGGCTGGGGTATGAATAGACAGAGGTGGACCAATCGCTTGGCCTCCTAGGTCGCCAGATTTAACCCCAGTGGATTTTCTCTTGTGGGGTTATGTGGAGAACATTGTCTACCAGGTTAAGATCAACGAACTGCAACACCTGAAAGCCCGCATAAGGGACTCTGTGGCTATGGTAACACGAAACTTGCTTCAAGTGTGGATAGTTTCCCTTTGTAATGGTGTAATGCATTAATGTGTATAATAAATTATTTCTGAGATATAATGATTTTGTTTTGGATACATTTCATCCGGACATTCTGTAGAATCTGTAAGACTCTCCGGAAGCTGTATTATAAATAACCAATGGAAAAGCCCATTCATATTCAACGGGAATTCTTCTTTCTTACGTTTAACCTCCGGCCCCTTTCTTCTTTCCTTCACGCCTTTCATATCTTTATGTCAATTCCTCTTTTCCAATTTCAAATAATGGAATAACAGGCGTGTCCCTTTGGGCGACACAGTTGCCACCTGTGTAAGTACATGAGAATTACTTCGGTGTGAGAATGACGTCATATGCGCAGTCACGTGACACACATAAATGATCATAAACCAAGTCCCGCTATAATATATAACTTTTTAGTTTCAGGGCAATAAGCAGCCAAAATGAACCAGCCGACATACACTTCTGTTAATGATCCTTGCAAATATTTCTGATCGTTTCCGGAAAAAAACACTTCTAACGCATGTGAAACTAAGGACTTTCTTATCACAAATATATTGAAGTAAAGATAACCGACAGTATAGAAAACACATTGGGCTGGACAATAGTTCCTATTATTAACAAAATTACGCATTTCATAAGAATTTTGAAATACTAACAATATTTTAAACTTTTTAAATAACGGCTGTGGATCTAATTAAGTTCATATTGTTTTAAAGTTGAACTTTCGAATGGAGAAATATCTTCAGCCTACTGAGCATCCTTAAAAGAATGCTCAGGTGAGAAGGATTTTCGTGAGATTCTTTCCAGAAGTTCCTGTTTTAGCTTTTAACCCAACGGACCAATAACGTACTTGCCTGTGGAAAATATAGATCGATGAAAAACAAACTCCGTGGCCTGTAGTCCGCAAGCGAACTATATCGACTGAGCGACCGCCGTTTTTTGGCGAAGTTAGGGCCAGCTTTAGTGGATAGAGAGTGTCACGTGGTCAGCGCAATGAATCCCCACGGCCGTTAATCTATATTTTCTAGACCGGAGCCGCTATTTCCTTGAAATAGTTCCTCAATTATCCTAACGAGGCTGAGAGGACCCCATTCTAGGCCCACTACTTCTAAAAAAATCTGGTAGTGCCGGGAAACCAACCCGGGACCTCTGGTAGGCAGGAACTCTGACCAATAGACCACAGAGGTGGTCATAGGTCGATGTACATAACATAATAGCAATATGCTACTGAGGATTATGTGAAGTATTACGAAGACAATTAAGATATTATGCGTAAGTTAACGACTGAATATTTCATCAGATTATGGACACTGAAGGAATTAAGTTCAATACGAAGGATCATAACGTATAACATTGCTCTGTAATCTAAGCGAACTCAATCTAAGAGCCTAACCTAGCATTTAGCATGACAGCTGCCACGTACAGGGAACACATACTAGATTGACGTTACATCTGAGAAGCAACTAATTCGTGACCAACATAAAGTTCGTGAGGAACAGGAAGATGACAGCATCAGCCACCGACTCCTACAGAAGCCGGAAATGTTTCGGGAAAGAAGGATCCTAACCAATGTGTTTCAGGAAGGAATGGAGCAGTAGGATACATAAAATAAATAAGAGGAATGTACCGCGACACCAGCTCCAATAACGAAATAATAGCATGTTTCAAAATGTCTTGGCTTAATTTGACGCTGTGTGTATTTATTTCGTCAAAGAAAAAAGTTCTATAAATATCCAACCTAAATAATACATTTAACTATATCACCGTCAGAAATATAGATATTTCGATTTTAAGAATATCGAAAACAAAACACAAGACTCTTAAATGTTGCTTGAACTATGTACACTATTTCTACTTCAACGACACTTAATACTTAATTATTTCAGTTAAAGAAATATTAACAAAATCACCATATTGGATCATGAGGCAAGGTTTTTTTAAAAAAGTTAAATTCGTCCTGGTAGTGAACTGCCAGTTACGAAACTTCAGTATTTACAGGAATATTCCTTTGCATCCTATCCCGAGAGAGAAATAAATAACCTATATTCTTGTACCACATTTATTTTAAAATAGATTATATAATTATCATCCTAGTTACATCCGTTCCAAAGCCAGGTACTGCAATAATACTAATATTATTGCATTTCTCATATCTTCCATGCACGCTACATGTCCACATTACAGCCGATCTAATCCTCGTCGATTTTACCTTAATAACATTTAGTTAAAAATCAGATTATGAAATGACTTCGGTACTCGTAATCCATAAGTAAAAATTTTAAAATAAGTGAAATTTATTCAATAAACGAGCTACGTATCATGGATAATGAACTTCAATATTTTATTTAAGCATCCTGTTACACTCACACAATATATGAGACAAACTCCGTCTTAAGTGCAACAATTTAATTGTAGTTCTTTCTTCTTTCTCTCCTCCACACTACATGTTTCGGCCCTAAATGGCCATCATCAGGTGTGTATTCTTACGTAGCTGCTACACTGCCCGTAGTTTAAAATTTAAAATCACCAGTCTTTCTAATTGTATGTATAAAATCTTTGTTAACCTACACGCGTTAATTTGATTTCTAAAATTGGCACTTTTTTAAAACTTTAATTCAAGTTAAAATGTCTATAAATTTTTTTCTGTTCATTTTCTTTTTCCAATTTTTTTTTTTAAATTAAAATTTTCTCGGGGTACACGCCCTATGTCTATAGTGCTGCAGCGGTCACTTCTTGTTTTATCGCTGTCCAGGTATTGTTCTGTGTAGGCTCTCTCTGTGTGTGTCGCTGCTTATCTACTACAATTAAAGAAGTACAATTAAATTGTTGCACTTAAGACGGAGTTTGTTTCAACTGGACTCCACCCTCTACTAAGTGAATTAAAAAAAAATATTTTACTTAAAAATCGCTTCCGTGATTCAGTTTCAGGGGTCTATGAACTGTGTCCAGGCAGCCAAAAGAGGTCCTCACACTTATGCTAATTACTCTCTTAGCTTCAATTATGCCCTGTGCTAATATCCGCTAATATCGGAAGCAAGGTTGCGAATTAACACGTTCATTGATATGACATTTTTTGGGGGATACCACAGTTCTTCCCTGTGTAGAAATATAAATAGCTCTCGTTTCAAAGCATATATCTGCAAGTGGAACAACACACAGAACCACAAGAAAAGCTACACGTATCTCCAATATATATTGCCAGCGATAGCAAGAATTTTCCATGAAGCTAAGAATTGTGAGTTCACATATCTTTATGAGATACGAAAAGTTGTAACCAAATCTCAAATTACGTAGAAAAGAGTTAGGTAATTTTATGCTGAAGATTAGGATACGTACGCAAATCTATGCTGTGATTCTTGGTCGGTGAGATGCAGACAGCTAGCGCTAAACACGGATTATTTTTGATACATTATTAACGTCAGAATTATTTATTTCTTGTGTTATGAAAGCTTCCTAGCGAAAGGGAGAATAAATTATTACAAATCATGGATCAATAATTGTATCTGAGTCAGATCGATTTTGAGAAAAGTTCTTATGAATCGAAACATCATATTCTTACACAAAATACATTAATCTAATTAGCTGAATTATAAAGTTATATACTTCCATTTTTTAAAGTGAGATACAATTTACACAATATTAATAGTAAATAAGATTTTCTGGCAAATTAATTCTAAGTTATTTTCTCTCTTCAATGTATACTCAGATATTATTGCTAGAATATTATTAAAAATAACAATATCAAGACTTGTATGTAACTCGTATTTACTGCTCGTTTATTCACTAATGAACAGTTCTTATATATCTATAGAGCAATCATATACAATCATATATAAATAACATAATGTGATTCATATGTATGCACTATATGAAAAGTTCAATATCGGAAATAAAAGTGAGTGCATCTAATAGAGGAGAGACTACAGGAGCAAAATTGTTTCAAGCAATAAAATATTTAAAACAGGACTTTCACCTTTCTACATTGCCGTACAAGCCATGAAAGTGACAACGATATCACTACAAAAGTGAGCAGACTTACAGGGTTCCGTGGATGTAATAAATGCTCACTATTAGGAAATTCTCTGAACCAAACCTTACAGAAACTCTACAGTGCAATAGGCATATTTCTGCTTCTGTGTGTATCGGAATTTTAATGGTAACAAAGAAAAAACTGCTAGAATTGCGAAAGCCATAAATATATTTTCTCAAGAAAGTTGCTCAATACAGCATGTTTAAAAAGGTAATTACATTATTTCAGATCTGCGGGAAACAGCTGTGCCTCAAACAAAATGCCTGAAGCCGCTGTATCAGACAACCGGATAGCAAATATTTCAGTGGAGACCGACGGAAAGACAGGAGGAAGAGTTTTATTCCATGTAACTGAATGAGATGCAGAGTGTAACCGTGATAACCTTTACGATTATGACGGTGATAATGGTTGCATTATGAACATTCCTACTTGTTAAAAGGAAGCTTTGCGTCAATTGCGTTGAAGTTGTGGTATCCATTTCCTATACTAGTCACTCAGTGTATAGTGTGACATGCCGG